AAGAAAGAAAGAAAGAAAGAAAGAAAGAAAGAAAGAAAGAAAGAAAGTTTCAGTGTTCAGCTAATGAACAAACCAAGTATTAGTTGGAAAAGTGCTGTGGATGTATCTTATCTATGCCCATCCTGACATTTCCCTCCTTGCAAATGTTTTACTTTTATACAACGCTCTTTTCAATCATTATGCTTACATAATATTGGAAGTCTAATTTTTCATGATGTAATTGGGCAGATAATTTTCCTTAAGCCAATCAGTTTTTCGTTACCAATGAGAAGTTTCTTTGTTGTGCAAATTATAAAAATTAATGTAAGTTTTTGTTTCAGGTTTATTTCTCAGAAGGGAATCCTTGTTAATTGAAATGTTTCAAATAAATCGTAAATTAATTTTTTTTAAAGTGGAAACTTAAATGACAAACCTCCACATGTCTGAAAATGACATTTAATGTTGCTTATGTAGAATGTGGTTTGTGTGCATATGTGAAGGTTGAGTTATTTTAAAGGCATGGAGGGTGGGAAACCTTCTAACAATAAACAAAAAGACCTTATTCAAAAAGATTTTGGAAAGTGGAGCTCATTGGCTTATCAAAATTCCCTGAAATAATAATAATGCAGTAATAATAATTATTCTGCCTGAAGAAAGCATGGAGTGAAATTTGTTTGTGGAATTGTTCATGCAAGCATTTGAGTGGTTGTACAATGGAGGAAAAATGTGCTAGTATGCTGATGTTAAATTAAGTTAGTGTGAATGTGTACATGTGTAGAGAGAGACGGCGGGAGAGATATATTATCAGGTTCTTTTTTATGAAATTCTACTATATATTTTACTAATACATGGTCAAGGCACCTGTATCCCTTGTGCAGGTTACATCTTCATAGTATGTCCTGCACAAATGAATCTATTTTCCTGTTTGACATATAATGTCTAGTGTGTGAGAATCTTTTATTACATAATAATTTTTAATTTATATTAAATTAGATTGTATGGAAATTAAAAATTGTAAAGAAGACTATACTATCACAATTTTCAATTGAAGAAAAAAAGGAAATACCATCATCTCCACCCTTGAATTTTGACTCATAGTTTCTTCTAACAATCTTCTACATATTTAAGTATAATTATTGATCAAAATGGTATCTTGTTTCCTTTCTGCTGAATTCCAGTGGTCAAAAGAATATGGTCCCATTTTTCGCATCAAATTGGGATTCCAGGAGATGGTGGTACTGACTGGCTATGAGACGGTTGTAGAGGCTTTAGTGAACCAGGGAGATGCATTTGCAGAGAGAGCCTCTATCCCCTTTTTTGAGGATGTTGCAAAGGGTTTTGGTGAGTTGTTTCATTTTGGATTGTAGCTGGCATTCAATATGCAATCACTGCCATAGAAGCATTTTCATAGGTAGTAACACAAAAGGTCTAGGAAGCTTGTGGAAATCCAATCCAGAGAGTGACCCAGATAAAATCTTTCTTTAACCAGTTTGACTACATCTAGTCATTACGAGGGGAAGCTAGAGAATAAAAATACAGGGCAGCCTTCCAATAAAAGCAAATCCACAACAGGTTTGGTTCTGTTTAGTTTGCAGATTTAGGGTGTAGAAGGTCCTGGCATTTTGTATGCATTTTTCAGTATCTGTATCCTCAGATACATATTTTTTCTGCTGTAGAGAACCAGGCTGATGCATTTGCAGGGAGACCTACCACCCCACTTTTTTGAAGAAGCAACAAAAGGATTTTGTGAGTTATTTCATTCTGTATCATTGTCAACAATCCTTTATGATCAGTATCACAAGGAAATATTCCCCTAGCTTTTCACCAGCAAAACCTCAGATGAGTCAGGCAGCTTTTGCAAGCCCAAACAGGATGAAAATCCAACTGAAATCTTTCTTTTTTTAATAAAAGTTTTTTTATTTTTTACACATCTCTTCACATGAGCAACATGATTCCAGACTACAACATTTATACATAATCATAATTACATTTTCAACTTTCTTATCCAATATCACATTAAGTCATTATCCATTCCATAATCTTTAAATAATTTTTCATTACATATTTCAATTCATTAATTCAATATCAAAGTTATTTCATCTTCATATATACTTTCAGTTCTTTATCCCCTATTATTTCCATTTTCAGCTTACCACCTGTTTCATTTTACATTATACATTGTTATCTTCATTAACTTTCTCAAGACCAATATATAATAAACAATCAAAAAAGAGTAAAAATAAAATAAAACTAATATATTTAGGATCCATGTGGTATATCCCCTAATCTACAATATATCTTATATTTATTCCAGAAATATTTATATAACCATTTCATATTTCTTCTTTATTTCCACTTAGCCAAAATTTGCCTATGTAATTTTAATAAATTTTAATTTTCCTACTTTTAATCATGATATGACGCTCTTATTATAAATACTTTACATTTCAATATAATCCCTTCTAATTTATCATATTTTGTATTTCCTCATATCCTTTATATAATCAATTACATTTTCTATTTCCTGTGTACACCAAACAAAGAAAAGAAAAACAGAAGATTAAATTTCCCCTTTTGCTTCCCTTTAGCCAATTTTAACCTCTAGAGTTTATATAATTCACCCTTTTTAATCATAATACCATATTTTCCCCCAGTTTGCCATATTCTCTGTTTTTCTAATATCATTTAGATAACCAATTGCATATTTTAGAATATATATGTTTGTAGCTTTAAGGAAAAATACTGTAATGTATTACTTTCATCATTTGATGAAACCAAAGTTGTTACATCCCATGGATTATTCACTACAGTCCATAATCCTTCTTTACACAGAAGTAGGCTACACTTCATAGACCAGGAAACATAGTTTGTTCCATCCAACCGGGTTATCAGGGATAGACTGGTTGACTGTTCTTGTGCCATTGTAACAATAAACCACAGTTAGCTGTCTGAATATGAAACTGTATATTCACACTGGTTCTCAATATCTCACTGTGCCCATAACCAATGTTAGGATATGTGCAGAGTAACCCTTGTATAAAAAGGATATGCACACGGAAAATGGTTTATGAGAACAGTTATGAAGAAATATACAGCCACACAGAGTTGAACAAGTTGTATTAATGTTTATTTGAAGAAATAGCACAGTCCAATAAACAGTCCATGTCATACACATTTTTAACAGTCCAGAAATATCCAGTTATAAAGTCTTCTTACATCTAGTTATAAAGTCTTCTTACCGGTTCCATGTCTTTTACAGCAAACAAATATCGAACCATAATACAACAAATAACCTTCGATATCAACAGAATATCGAAGTAAACAGATTTAGTCAGTATTGGTCCGTAGTCAGTCAGTATCTCAAGAGAGATCATCAGTGAAAAAGAGAAAAAGAAAGAGAATTAAACCATGATCTATAGCTCCCTCTTATGGCAACTTGTAGCATAATTAACCAACCAGAACACAACATTTATTTATTTATTTATTTATTTTATTTATTTGATTTGTCAATTGTTTACAAGATAATAAGTATATGTTAATACATAGTTTTGAATACATGAAATGGGTACATATAATAAAAATAAAATAAAAATAAAAGAAACAATAGGACAGGGACGGTAGGCACATTGGTGCACTTATGCACGCCCCCTAGAGACCTCTTAGGAAAGGGGTGAGGTCAATAGTAACAGTCTAAGGTTAAAGTTTTGGGGGTTTGGGGAAGAAACTACAGAGTCAGGTAGAGTATTCCAGACATTGATCACTCTGTTGCTGAAGTCGTATTTCCTGCAATCAAGCTTAGTGCGGTTAACCTTGAGTTTGTATCTATTGTGTGCTCTTGTGTTGTTATGGTTGAAGCTGAAGTATTCATTGACAGGTAGGACATTGCAATGTATGATTTTATATACCATGCTTAAATCAGACCAAAGACGGCGTAATTCAAGGTTTTCTAGTTCTAGAATTTCAAGTCTGGTGGCATAAGGTATTCTACAACGAGTAGAGGAGTGGAGAACTCTTCTTGTGAAATATTTCTGGACTTTCTCAATTGTGCTAATATCAGATACGTGATGTGGGTTCCAGACTGATGAGCTGTATTCAAGTATTGGTCTAGCAAATGTTTTGTATGCTCTAGTTAGTAGTGTGATATTACCAGAGAAAAAGCTACGTAGGATTAGGTTAACAACTCTTAATGCCTTTTTGGCTATGTAGTTGCAGTGGGCTCTAGCACTTAGATCATTAGAAGTGAGTATTCCAAGGTCCTTTACAGAGCTTGGATCATCAACAAGATCTTGACTATTCAGCTTGTATTTTATTTTCTGATTTTTTTTGCCAATATGTAAGACAGAGCATTTATTTGTTGAGATTTGAAGTTGCCATTTGTTTGACCATTCTGATACATAGTCAAGATCTTTTTGAAGGGTAGCAGTATTGTCTGTGGTATTGAACAGCTTTACATCATCATCAAAAAGAACGCAGTTGCTCTTAATATGATCACAGAGGTTATTTATGTAGAGTATGAAGAGAGATGGTCCTAGAACACTGCCTTGGGGGACACCACTATTGACAGGTACAGAATTTGATAGGACGCTCCCAATTTTGACCATTTGTTGTCTGTTTGACAGGAATGCTTCTATCCAGTTATGCAGTTGTCCAGAGATACCATAGGATTTTATTTTTAGGAGTAGTTTGTCATGTACCACTGAATCAAAGGCTTTACAGAAGTCTATGTAGATTGCGTCTATTGCTTTGCCCTGATTGAGTTGTGTCGTCCATATGTTTTTGCAGTGTAAGAGTTGCAGATTACAGGATAGTTTTTTTCTGAAACCAAATTGTTTATTGGAGAGTAGGTTCTTTGTCTCTAAGTGGAGGATGATGGATTGGTTAATAATTGATTCCATGACTTTACAGGTGACACAGCATAAGGAGATTGGTATGTAATTTTCAACTAGGCTGGGGTCTCCCTTTTTGAAGATGGGGATGACCGTGGCTTGTGACCATAGGTTAGGTAAGGAACTGGTCCTGAAAGATTTTTCAAAGATTATGCTTAGAGGTTTAGCTATGGCAGTGGATAGCTTTTTTAAGAAGTAGGCACATATTCCATCCAGTCCAATAGATAGAGATGGTTTTAGATTGCGAAGTGCTTTTTCAACATTATCTTCTGTAAAATCGATATGTATTAGATCATTGTAGTTATCTGTGGTTCGGCTAGGAAATACTGGGCATGATCCATTGCTGTTTACAAATACTGAGCCAAAGAATGTGTTAAAGATGTTGGCTTTAATGGTGTCATTGTTGCAGTCTTTACCATGAGGTCCTATTAGGGGTGGGATGGACCTTGAGTCTTTTAGTTTGTTGTTTACAAAATTATAAAAAGTGCGGGTGGAATTGGTGCGTAGAAGGGTTTCCTCTTGTTTAATGTGATACCTGGTGCATTCAGTCTTTATCTGGTGGCATAAATTTTTGTATCGGTTTTGTTTTTCTGCCAGAGTGATCTCTTTTTGGATTGAAGGTTTTTTTATTGTTATGGGTAATCTGTTTTTTGTTTTGTTTTGGGAGTTGTTGTTGGTACATATAGTTTGATGACTCTTTTGACTTCAAGTAAGAATATGTTGTAATGATCTTCAACAGTATTGCATCCAGTGAATAATGCATTCCAGTGAACATAATACATTACAGTATTTTTCCTTAAAGCTACAAACAGTATTTGTAGTTTATATATTGTCAACTCAACTATGTTATTTACATTTACATAACACATATTCATTAATTATTTCCCCTTTTAAATCCCATTAAATGTTAACATTTCATTACTTATTACATTAAAAATTAATAATCCCATTTAAAACTACATCACATATGTAAATCAGATTCTGCATGGTTTCCCCTTTAAGTTCCATAAAGTTTAATCTGCAAATTCAAAAAACAAAAAAAACAAAAGGACATATAATCTACTCATTTAATCTGAAACCTTGAAGTTAACCATTTCAGCTCTCCTCCTATATCATTTCATTTATTTCAATATATTTAATGCACATATTCTATTAATTATTCCATTCATATTTAAACAAAAAGAAAAAATAAGCATTCCAATCCTAAAAAAATGTCAATATATTCAATAAATATATTCCATATATTTATTGCATTTATCTCTTATAATAAAGGAAAAGAGCATTACCAAAAAATAACAATTCCATTTTCCATCTTATCAATCTATATGTCCCTACTTCACAACTACAAATTTATTTATATTATTCCTCAGCACCTTGCAGAAGATCCTTTCCAAATATCATTATCTCTGTGTCTAGTTAAACAGTTTCCCCCATTTTTTAAAAAAACCACATATTTCTTTGTTCCCAAATCCTGTTTCTTTTCCCTTCTTTCCCCTAACATTTCTCCCTTTTTTATTTCACTCCAGTTTTTAACCCCCTCTCTATTTATAACTCCCTTCTGCCCTTCAAATTTCTGCTGATTCTTTTCTCCTTTATTAATTTTCCAGATGTTTCCCTCTTTATTCAATTTCCCAAACCTCTGGTATATATTTCCAACTCTTTTTCTCTTTCTTTCCAATTTCCTTTGTTCTCAATGATAGTTAAAAATGGCCCCTTCTAAGATTTGCTCCTCTCCTCTTCTGTCCTTTGTCTTTGTTGTTCATACTCTGCAATTGTCTCTTCAAAAAATTTGAAAACAAAGCCCAAAGTTTCACCTCTGTCTTGTGAAGTTTCTTTCATGTTTCTAAGTTCCATTTTTAATGCCTGAAGAGATATCGCCATTTTACAGTTTTCAAATTAGTCCAAATAATAACTTTAAAATTAATTCCCAACAGTCCGCTTTTGTTTTCTTCCTCTCAAGTTTTAATCCTCAGCTAATCCGATGCCAAGTCCATGTCAGAATCAACAATTAGTCCAAGGGCAGAATCTTCATGTATCTTTCTTTGCTTCAATGTTTCAATTTTTCAAAGTGCTGGTTTTATTATATCAATTTTCCTTGTATTTTTAAGAAACAGAGTCTTTAAAAAAACAAGTTAACTTTAACTCAGATGGCACTCTTTGTTCTAACAAATCCACACCTCCTCCTTTCTTTTCCTTCCCAATTATTCAGAGCTTTTTAAATCACAATCTTCCAAAAAGGTCAAATCCAATTGATATAAATTTTCTCTTTAAAAATCTATAGCTCAGCTTTATTAGTGCCTATATAAAATCAAAATATACTTATCCAAGTTGATTAAATAATTCCTCCTCCAGCTTCTACCTCTCTCAATCCAAAACTCCGTTGCTGTCAAAGACAATTCACACCTTTTTTGCACTCTTTCAATTCACCACTTTAAATCCTTTCTTAAAAATTCTTTAAAAAGTTAATCCAGAGGGTACTTTCTATTTAATTATATCATCCCATTCCGCCTGCTGTTTGCTTCTTTCTCTCTCTCCTGCACAATCTTATTCCAATTTAATCCTCCCCTTCAGGGTGGCCATTTTAGACCACTGCTTCAGGCATCTTCAGAAGGGAGCAATTGCCAAGCCGGGGAGGGGATTTGCAACTCCCTTCAACCTGGCTGATGGTCTCCCCTTCCTCTGCCACCCCTACCAAATCTAGACAATCAGGGCTCTCTGATGCCAAAGCACGGACCAAAGCCATGCACAATCACGGTCAGTGATCTGTCTTCGGGGAGGCTCAAAACCGTAAGCCCACTGTCATATTCTTAAGCAAGGGCTCTTTCTTTCTACTTCTTGGGGTTATAAAAAAAGGTTCAAGTTCTTTTATCTGGTTACACGCCGCTCACCACTTCACTGCTCCAGCTGTCCTGGCAGCTTCCCATCTTCAGGGCAGCCATTAAAACTGCCGCTTCTCCCTGTCTTCCAGGGGAGTATATCTAGCCAGGGAGGGGAGATGTGGCTCCCCTCAACCCAGTTGGCAGTCTCCCCCTCTTTCCCCACCCCTCCAAAGTCAGATGGATCTGGTCCCGTAAGGATCATCCAACATGATAAGCACGGATCGAAGCTACACACGATCATGGTCTTCAGTCCATCTTCAACAGTAGTGCTACCGGAAGTCCTGAAATCTTTCTTGTGCCACTGTAACTTAAAACCCTCAGTGCCAATGAAGGGAACTGGAGATAAAAACCTTTTCTTTTTGTAATGTTTTGCCAGTGCCTCTCCCTTAATATACATTTTTTCCATCACTCATGGAGCATTCCATCATAACATTTATATGATGCACTGCACAGAAATACCCTGCCACTACAGAAGCCATTACAAATATAGAAGCCATTACAAATCTATATATTTATTATTCTATGTAAGGGAATCAATCTCTCAGCCTGCAGGCTGGATGTGTCACATGCTGGCCATACCCACACCCAATTTAGCAAAAGGAGGAAAAGTCCCGATATTTTAGGAGATTTGAACTGCCAGATTTCAGGCAACCGGCAGTCAGCAGAAGTAGCCTGCAGTACTGTACTCTAACCACTGTACCACCATGGTACAGTGCAGTGTTGGAAGTGTGTGGCTTGAACAAGGAACAATTAATTTAAACATTTGCAAACTGGATACTAAGAAGAGTATTATTGGGAAAGGCACCAAGATAACTACCATTAATACAAACAAAATTATTAATGAAATCCTAATATTTACTGCAAGGTTTTGGACAGAGAGTATGAAATGCTTGATTAAATTGATGGAGCGTGGCTTATTGAAGCTGTGAAACAAGAATAAGCTGAAAAGAATTTTAAAATTATATTTCACAATCTAGCCCCTTTTCTTTTCAGGTCTTGTTTTTGCTCATGGTGAGAACTGGAAAGTGATGCGACGCTTCACCACTTTACGGATGTACGGAATGGGCAAAAGGATCATCGAAGACAAAATCACAGAAGAGTGCAGTATCTTAATAAAAACAATTGAGACTTATGCAGGTGGGTTTGGATTTCCTCTTAATCTCTACTGGAGCATAATTGTTTTCTCCCTAAAAATTGTCCAGTTTTTGCTAAGTATATTTACAGAAATGTGACTTATGGATGGCAAAATGGTTCCAGAGGACCTGAATAGTTAATTCAGTATAATACAACAATCTTTCATAAATAACATTTACTCTTCTGTACAGACTCCTCTAGATCCTTTATTTACAGCAGGTTGCAAGTCCTTCATCTGAGCAGGAAAATTGGAGTTAATTCTCCTTTCTGCTTTGGGTCAAATATAACCAAATGGCAGTTTTTCAAAGAACAGAAAGATATAATCTAAATTTATTAAGTGATCTAGAGAAAACATATTTACCCATGTTCTCCAGCAGAAGTATTATCTTTGAATTATCAGTATGTAAACAACCCCCCCCCCCTTATTTTTGGCATAGTCATAAAGATCAAGATGCAGGTGGTGCACTTACTCATCAGCACACTTCACAAGTAACTAATATAGAAGGAATCTCGTATTTTCCAAAATATTAGTTGTTAAAGCCCTACAATGTCAAATGTGCCTAGCACACTGCATCTGGGTTGCAAAGACCTGGATAATTATGGGATTGCAGAAGGATATACAAAGTTCTCATCATTTGCATTTTTGCAACCCAGAAATGATATGGATAAAATTGTCTTCAGGAAAAAGAAATAAGAGGGATATGTGATATAAAAATAACCGAGAAAACTAAAAGTTCTTTGTCTAATTGCCAAATGAGTTTCCATTTGTGTAGCATACCTACATATCTATAAACTCAGTGTTGCAATAAAGGAAGGCATGAGATCATAAAAATGCAATATCTAGTTTTTGAAGCATTACTTATGAATCAAAGTCTATATAGGTATTTGCCTTCCAGGGTTTAAATTCTAGTCTTTCCCTTCTAACATTCTGAGTAAATAGTATTTTGGCTGTTCTATTTTCAAATTTGAGATTGGGAAGTGGCTGCAGTGTCATTTTATTCATTCTGTCCTGCCTTTTGGCAATTATTGGTTACATACAACCATAAGCATTTTTATTGAGATCTGTTATAATTTCCTCCCATATAACATATCTCCTTTTCTTTCCTTCATCTTATGAAGCTCAGTAGCTGTTTGATTTTTAAAACTGCAACCATTTAATGAGGAAGCATCACAATAACTTTACCAAGTATTTTATTCTCAAAGAGTTCAAAGAAATCATTATTGATGTATGATAAGATACTGCAATTTTTCCTATGGGACAATGTATTACCCTTTAAATACTTTTGCATATTTTTAATCTAAATAGTTCCAATGTCATCAGCTCTAGTTATGGCCTTCTATAATAAATGCTCCCTTTATGCTGATTTTGAGTATAAATGCAGTAAAACACATATTTAATCGTGGTTTTTCTTTTTGATCTATTGTTTTTTCCTAGGAAAACCCTTTGATATCACAACAATTCTTACTGCTGCTGTTTCCAACATCATAGTTTTTATCCTATTTGGGAAACGCTATGAATATAAAGATAACCAATTTCAGCGACTACTGAAGAACAACAGTGAAAATTTCCAGCTTTCAGGAAGCCCTGCTATGCGGGTAATCTATTTTTTTTTTAATTTTAAAAAATGTTATGAAAAACAGACAGCACAATGACTTAGATGAGGGAATAGAAAGGGGATTCATCAAATTTGTAGGTGACACTAAGCTGGCAGGAGTAGCCAACACCCCAGAGGACAAGTTAAGGATCCAAAAAGATCTTGACACAATTGAACAATGGGTTGTAACATAAAATTTAATGTGGAGAAAAGCAAAGTTTTACACCTAGGCAGAAAAAACCAAAGGTACAAGTAAGATTAGGTGAAACCTGACTCAGAAATGGTAACTGTGAGAGGGATCTTGGAGTCCTAGTAGACAATCACTTAAATATGAGCCAGCAGTGTGTGGCAGCAGCCAAAAAAATGAATACAATTCTTGGTTGCATAAACAGAGGCACAGAATCAAAATCAAATGAAGTATTAGTACCACTTTTTAAACCATAGTAAGACCACACCTGGAATACTGCATTCAGTTTTGGTCATTACATTACAAAAAAAGTTGCTGAGACTTTGGAAAAAGTACAAAGAAGAGCAACTAACATGATTAAAGACCTGAAGAGAAAAACATATGGAGAACGGTTGCAAGAATTGGTTATGACTAGTCTAGAGAAAAAATGTAATAGGGAGTGACATGATAGCAGTATTTGAGCAGTTGGCACAAAGAAAAGGGGGGTCAATTTATTTTCCAAAGCATCTGAAGGCAAGACAAGAAACGATGGATGGAAATTAATTAAGGAGCAAAGGAATCTGGAATTAAGGGGAAACTTTCCAACAGTGAGAACAATTGACCAGTGGAACAGCTTGCCTTCAGAAGTTGTAGGTGCTTCATTACAGGAGGTTTTTAAGATGACAGCCACTTTTCTGAAATGGTATAAAGTGTTGAGGTAATTCCCCATTAGGAAAATGAGCACATACAGGGAGACGTATTGAGAGTAGTGTTTGAATAATACACACACAGCACACAGATACACTCTACAGTAAATGTAGGTTTTTACTTTCCATAAAGGTTTAAGCAAAGTTCAAAATAAGCAGTCCAAAGTCATTCACAGAAAAGATCAGTGCAGGGATAATCCAATAACAAAGTCCAGTGTCAAAAACAGTTCAGTATCAGACTTATATCAAATCCAGGAATATCAGTCAATTAGGAGGAACGGCAAAAACTCTCCAACAGAAGGAAACAGAGACTCACTGAGACTTCTTCTGAGACTAAGACAGATTTCTGGCTCCATCTTATGGCTGTTTGAGAAACCATACCCAATTACAATTTTTTGCATTCTTAAAGAGACAGTATTAAAATGTCTATCCTGGTTTATATATTTCCAACCCAAATAGCTGTTAGGTGACTTACATTCCTAACATTCTCCCCTTTGGGTAGAACAATATATACAACCTTACATTCTAAGTCCATAATCATCACAGTAAGCTTTATGCTTTACACAGCCATGGGCCTTTGTAAAATGATCTGCTATGTTATTTTCTGACATATGGTATTCCAGCTTAATCATTTTACTTTACATACATTGTCTCACATTTAAATATCTTTAATCTCTGTGTTTTGTTCTTGTCTTAACAGCAATATTTGAAGCCATCTGTATTGTTGTTTGGTTATCTTCATAAACAACAATAGAATCTGTTACATCAATTCCCATGTCAATTAGTAGTTGCTTATACAAAACTAAATCTGTACATAATAAAGATAAACATGAGAATTCAGCCTCCATTGTTGACAAATTTAGATGTTTCTGTCTAATAGATTTCTATCCAATCAATGCTTTTCCCAATAATACTACAGTACCCAATGTAGATTTTCGTGTATTTATGTCTGTAGCAAAACTTGCATCAGCACATGCAGTTAAATTCAGTTCATCTTTAGGCTCCAAATACAATGCATAATGCATTGTTTGTTTTAGATATCTTAACACACATTTAGCAGCTTGCCAGTGCCTTTCAGTTGGCTCAGCGTTAAATATCACTAATTGATTAATACTGTATGCAATATCTGGCCTTGACCAATTACTGAGATAAGATAAACTACCAGTAAAGGACTGATAAATGTTCTTATCAAATAGGACTTTGAACATCACTACGGCTAAACTCCTGGCTCATCAGTGTTTTAGCCAGTTTACAAAGTTCCATTTTTTTAAAAAATAGTAATTGGTTAATTTTATCTGCCTGTGAGATCTTGTATCCTCCCCTAGTTCTATCTATCTTTAAACCAAGATATTGTTTGACTTCTCCTAATTGTTTTATTTTAAATTTCTTCTCTAACAGTGAGATTATTTTAGTAGCTTCTTGTTCAGTTTTGGTGATTAATGCTATGTCATCAGTAAATAATAACAACAATGAAGTTACACCATTACTTCATCTTTTAAACAAACATGGATCAGCCATGCCAGCTACAAAACCTATTTTAGTTAATTCTTTAACTATACACTGGTTCCACTCATATTCTGATTGCTTCAAACCATAAAGACTCTTTTTCAATCTCCAGAAATCAGTTGTATTATCATTTTTGAGACCTAAAGGTTTCTTTAAATATATATGTTGCAATGGTGCATGCAGATATGCTGTCTCTACATCCAAATGATTTATAATGTATTTCTCCTTAGCTGCCCACACTAATGCTGCCTTTAATGTAGTAGCCTTCAGACAAGGTGCAAACATCTCATTGTAGTCATTTGCTGTCTGATTGAATCCTTGTGCTATTAACCTGGCTTTAGGGGTAACAGTCCCATCTAACCTGTCTTTAGTTTATAAACCCATTTACATGCTATGTCATGTTTACCTGGTGGTAACTTAACATTTTCATATACCTCCAGTTTTTTTTAATGATTCCAGTTCCTTATCCATTGCTTTCTGCCAAGAAGCCTGATCCTTAGCAGGATACAGTTTTAGTTCACTATAATTACTTGGAACTGTATTCACTTGGCATACAACACTAGCCTGAAATCTATCAGGTGGTCATGTTACTCATGTTGAACATCTTGGTAATACAGGGCTTACTGGTGGACTCACCTGTGCCACCTGCTCCTGTTCTCCTATTTCTTCCTGTTCTTCCTCTTTAATGGCTATTTGTGGTTTACTGATTTTATCTTTAGGGACTATTTGGGTGTGAATAATGATATCATTTCTGGATTCCTGTTCCAGTCTATCCCACCCAACGTGCTCAAGAAATTTTGCACTAGCACTACAATAAACATGAGCTATGCCTTGATCCCAGAACTAAATGATCTACGGTTGGCCTCATAACCCACAAAAAATAACTTCTTAGCTCTATGTTGCCCTTTCATTCTTACTTGTGAGGGAATATTCACCCATGCTGGAGCTCCAAATGTGTGTAGGTAACTTAAATTTGGCTTTCTGCCATGCCAATGAGTGAATGGCAATTCTCCAGTTGTTGTATTTACTACATTGTTTAAAACATGATTACTACACATTATGGCTTCACCCCACAGTGTTTCAGGTAAACCTGAGTCAGATAACATAGTGTGAGCCATGGCTTGTAATGTTTGCCCTCTTCGTTCTACAAATGAGTTATATTGTGGTCTGTAAGGTGCTCAACACAAGCCAATTTCAACATTGTTTGGAATCTTTTGTTAACAAACTCAGTCTCATTATCAGTAACTAATGTAATTACTTTACTTTTCATTTTTTTCCCAGCAAACCTTAGCCAATTAAAGAAATGTTGGAATGTTTCTGTTTTATTTTTCATAAGATAGTACAAACCGTATCATGAATAATGGTCCATAATACTCAAAATATAGCAGGCACCTCCTAAACTTGGTTTCTTAGGACCAATTATATCAGCAAACACAACCTCTAAAGGTTCTTTAGTCTTAAACCCATTAAGTCTGTTTGCTGGAGTAACCTTACTTTTCTCCTGGCTACAAGCATTACAGTTTAAATACTTGCTACAAGGTTTCCATTTTACTCCCTCTGACAATTTAACAGTTTGTTTGAGCAATTTGAAATTTATGTGCCCCAGATGTCTATATAATAAATGTATACATTCATCATGTGGCTTAACATTGTTATAAACTGAGTTAGCCATCTTCAACTTGTCATCATGTATCAGATATAAATCATTCTCTAGATTAGCAGTAACACTTTTACCCTCTTTCTCTATTATAAAGTTATCTCCCCTAAAGGTTACTATATAACCAATATTAATTAAAGCCCTTACTGATAGCAAATTAAATTTCAGTTTTAGGTACATATAACATAGTTAAATGTTCATTTATACAAGAACAATATGCAGTACCTTCACCTGATGCCTTAATCTTCCATCCATTTGCCAATGATACATGTTGTTTACTCATAGACAACTTTACAAACCTTTCTCTATCTTTAGTAATGCATTATGATGCTCCACTATCAACAACCCACAAATCATGGTTTACAGTTGAATTGCTAGACATAGCTAAACTAACATTCTTCTTGGCCTTCTGGTGATTATCAGTATTCTGTTTTCCCTTCTTACAGAATCTAGCTATATGCCCCCTAGCCCCACAAGAAAAACATTTCCTAACAGTATAGGCAGTTGAAGATAAATCCTCTTCTTCTGGTTGTTCCTTCTCAGTTGGTCTCTATTCAGTCATCTTCTGGCTTCTTCTAACAACCTTCCAGTTATGTCAGTCAATGTCAGTTTATCTCTGGGCAGGACTTCCAGTGAAGATACATAATCATCATAACTTTCATCCAATGAGGAAAGAATGATGTAAACTTGATGCAGCTCTGAAAATATCAGGTTTTTTTTCATGTAGCTCTTGAAAAATTATTTTCATGAAATTCAAATGAGCTAACATATCACCTTTCAGAAGACATACTCTAAACAGTTTATGTGTAAGATGTATGTGTGCACCTACACTGTCATGAACATAAATCCTCTTCAAATTCTCCCAACACTTAGCAGCAGACTCTTCTCCATGAATATGGACTAGCTGCTGGTCAGTCAGTGTTAGTCCAATTATACAAAGAGCTCGTTCATTGTTCTTTTTAAAGTCAACTAGCTTCTTGGCATCATCCCAAGCATTTACATCCAGTAGATTTTGAACTAC